GGACCACCTTTCTTGATTGCATTGGCTCGAAGAAGACTAGTTGATTGCTCCCCCATACTCCACTATGGGTGAGCCACTCTTCTACACATCTTCACAAGTCCATTGTCGACACAATGGACGGCAAGCTTCAAGCATATGATCTCTTCATGATGATTCAACTTGAGCTTGCACACCGCAACCTAACCCCACAAAGAACTCTCACGAAGACCATGGGTTAGTATACAAAGCATAATTGATCATGCTTACCATACCATGGGATCGCTTGATCCCTCTCGGTACATCTTCTATGCTTTGTGTGTTGATCAACTTGATTCATTCTTTGACTTAGTCTTGATCAACCTTGAATCTTTCCAACTCTCTTCATTTGGATGATGTCTTGAAGGTAAACATGAATGATCACACAATCTTCTTCTTCAAGACATGCTTGCAATAAGCTCAACACTCATAAGATCAATCTTTGGATAATTCCTTAATAGCAACTTGGTCATCACAAACTCTCCTTGAAACCAACAAATGGACTCCAAGAAAAGCCTATGGACAAACCCTTCAAATATAACTCAAGGCAACCATTAGTCCATAGAGATTGTCATCAATTGCCAAAACCAAACATGGGGCACCGCATGTTCTTACACCGTCTGGGCGACGCGAGTGGCGAGAGCGGCCCGGCGCTCGGCACGGGCTCGACGAGCATCTGACATGGATGCGACGGGCGGCGAAACACGAGGCGACGGAAGGCGGATTCCGGCGCATCCCTACCTGGCGCGCCAAATGTCGGATTTCGGGTTCCGGCAAACCCTCAAGGTTCGAACTCTGGGGTGCACGCGGAGATCAGCCCCCTGCCTACCCATGTCTCGTCGCCTCGCAAGGATCTAAACTACATGAAGAACAACACAGAGGACACGAGATTTATACTGGTTCAGGCCACCATTGTGGTGTAATACCCTACTCCAGTGTGTGGTGTGATGGATTGCCTCTGGGGCCGATGATGAATAGTACAAGGGAAGAACAGCCTCGCGAGGGTCTGTTCTTGGCTGGTGCGATGAACTGCTATGGGAGTTCAGTCGCCTCTCTCTCTCTGTGTGTATCAAATTCCTCTAGTCTCCTCCGACTTCAGGTGCGGATTCGGGGTCCCCCTACCATGCGGGTGGCTAGTCCTATTTATAGGCGGAGGCCCTGGGCCTCTTCCCAAATATTGAGCGGGAAGGGCGCCAACAATTGGCCATTTTGAAAGGGAACATCTAGTACACTTATCCTGACTAAAGTCGGTCCTCGCCTGCAAAAGACCCTGACGATGACGCCGGCTTGGGCTCCACGATGACCTCCATCCTGCCGTCCTACTGGTCTTGGTCTTGTTGCACGAAATGGTTGCCTTTGCTTGATACTCTTGCCTGCGCTTGCACCCTTTGCACCAAAGGGGAAACAAGGACTCTGCGCAGGCCGGCGCCTGCGCAGGCCGGCGCCCGCCTGGCCTTGGTCGTCATGGCTTGCGTCATGGGCACCTCGCGAGGTGCCCCGCCTTGATCTCTCCGCCTCCTCGCGAGCCAGCCTGACGAGGCCGTGCCCGAGGAAGCCTCCTGTCATCCGTCCCACGAGGCTTGGCCCCTCGCGAGGGTCTTGAGCATGTGTTAATGAAGATGGGCCGTACTGGGCCACTCCTGGAGCCACACCGCAGGCAGGCAAGTCTGGGTACCCCCATTCCCAGAACGCCGACAGATGGTGTTGGCACGCGTAAGGCAATTGAGCCGAAGCCGTGCCCAACAAGTAAATTTAACAAAGGATAACTTGGTAAGACGCAACTGGACAAGATCTACTAGGTGTAGTTTTTGTGATCGGGATGAAACCATCAAACACCTGTTCTTTGATTGCCCGCTGGCCAAAGTTTTGTGGCAGACGGTGCACATTGCCTTTAACATTACTCCACCGAATTCTGTCAGTACGTTATTTGGAACGTGGCTTGTTGGGATAGAGTCCGAAACAGCTAGACACATTCGCGTAGGAGTATGTGCTTTGTTGTGGGCAATTTGGAATTGCATAAATGATTTGGCTTTTAACAGAACAACAAATATTCATTTTTTGCAGGTTATATTCCGAGCCACTGTGCTGATCCGTATGTGGTCGTTACTCACTCCGACAGAGGCCAGGGAGCGTTTGGTTATTGGATCTATCCGGTGGGAGATGGTAGCACGGGATATCTTCAACCGGTTTGGATGACGGTCATGTAATATGATAGGCAATTAGTTTTCCTATCTTTGTTTTGCTAGCCGGTTGTGGCTTCTTGGCTTTTTTGTTTTTGGCGTTGTGGCTCTTTGTGAGCTTGCTGTTACTTTAATTTCAGACTGTAAGACATTGTTGAACCTATTTACTTTCTATAAAGATGGTCGTATGCATCATTCTGATGCAGAGGCCGGGAAGTCCCCCTTTTCTAAAAGAAAAAAATCCGAGGAGACCGGAAAATCCTATCTAAAGAAAGGCTTGCGGTTTGAGGACACGCTAGAATACAAGATGTGGTTGCGTGGGAATGATGTTAAGCACCATAGACATACACCGTTAAATGTTAGAGGCGAGGATACTCATGGAAAGTCCATGCAAGAATCATGACAAATGGATGGTGGAAGATATCAAGTTGTCATGCCATTCACCAGTGCAAACCGCGAACAACTAATGCACTCAAGACGCATTATCAGCTGGCCTCTGACTTCATCGGATATAAATTGACGACACATGTAGTCCTAAACTCGACCATTAGGTGAAGTTGATGATTGGTTTGGTGCCAACTCTCTTTGGATATAAGTGAAGTATGGAAAGGCATAGAAGACAAGCAAGTCGCCCTTAGAATGATGTACGCTGGATGGGAAGAAGCACATAACCACCTTCCTAGGTTGTTGGGAGTGATGACCTATAGAAACCCAGGCATGTATCATGTAGCAGAGAATGATGCTCCAAGTGTTCCGCCATACCTTATGGACGTTCAACCCATGAATCTCGACCTTTAAACATTGTTGGTCATTTTTTTCTTTGCGCACACAGTATCTATTCTCTCTCAACCAATTATAACCCAGACAATCCTCAAAAAAGTTAGGGAAAATATAAATTAGGGTCACCAAGCAAAAACAATGCACCTAAAATAGCAGGTTTTAACCGCAAAAAATTGGAGGAGATTTTTTTTTACTATTCAATTTTTTAAGGAGTTGAAGGAGAAACATATGCTGGGGAGGGATTTGGTGGAGGAGGAGAGAGTATTATGGGACGGAGGGAGTATATTGAAAAAAAATCAAGCATTTGAATTTTTTGAACAAGTATAGGAAAAATATTAAATGTATATACAAAAAATGTTGACCATGTATTCAATTTATTAACATATATTTTAAAATATTTAATCAAACATTTGAAAAAGGTTAAATATGTATAGAGAAAATGTTGACTATGTATTGAATTTTTTAATCTTGTATTGTATTAAAAAAGTTTAATTAAGCATTTGAGAAATGTCAAATATGTATAGAAGAAATGTTCATCAAGCATTTGAGAAATGTCAAATATGTATAGAAGAAATGTTGACCATGCATAACAAAAATGTTAATGAAGCATTTGAAAATGTTAAAATTTATATATAAAATATGTTGACCATTTATTAAAAAATCTTGTATTTAAAAAATATTAATCAAGCATTTGAAAAATATTTAAAACGTGTATAGAAAAAATGTTGACCAATTCAGAAACCAAGAAAGAAACAAAGAAAAAGAAGAAAATCAATGAAAACCAAGAAAAAAACAAAAGAAGAACAAAGAAAGAAAACCGAAAAAAGGAAAGCAAAAGACCAAATAAAGACCAAATATTTAAAACGTGTCGCGTCATAAAACGGGGGCTCCTCTCCATTCTTCTCCCGGCGTTTCCCGAAGCCTCCTCGTCCGACGCGACGCACGCCCCGAGGTGAGCACCACGAATCCCACCCAATACTCTTCGAATCCGCGTGCATTCTCGGCCCCCGCTCGCGCGCCTCGCCGGTTGCCCCGAGGTTCCGACGCCCCCGCCATGGATTTTCTCTCTCGCGGTTCTCCCTGGCTCGTGTCGGGGGTGCGATTCGTGTTCGTTCTCGGAGGGGCGCCCGATCCGTCGCGGTCGGGTTCCGGGGCGGTGTCTTCGTGATTTGTCGTCGGTTGGGGTTGGCCCGTGCGGTACGGATGGCTGGCTAGGGTTACTCCCAAATTTCTCGTTCTCGTCAAATTCTCAACGGGGAGAGATAGATTGCGTTGGATTGGGGACCCTGCTTGTGCCAAATAATCTCTTGTTTAAGCGCGTCTTGGTCGATTTGTTGATAATTTGGCAGTGGATGCGTTGTTCATGGCGGCAGGATCAGGCATTGGTATTGCGTTCCTGGATTCCGATTCGTAGATGAATGGTTTGCTATCTTGTGTGTGTGGTTACAAGTTTTGGTTGCCAGAAGAAAATTGTGTGCCAGATAGCTTGGTACTGGATAAAATCCCTTCGGAGCTTTTATGATGATCAGGACTCTGCATTCGGCAGATTGCATTGGATCCCCTTGCGTATAACTATTGTACTTGTATTTTTTGGAAGATATTAACTAATGCTTTCTTTGTGGCATGTTCTTCATGTGATAACTGTCCTACCATCATTTGCTAAATTATAACCACTACCCTTGGTAGATTCTGAAGGAAGAAAATAAGTTGATTGGTAGATGATTCTGTTTTGTAGATGATTAGTTTGGTATCTTGTGTGATTACAAGTTTTGGTTGCTTTTAGAAGAAATGTTGTGACAGATAGCTTCGTATTGGCTAAAATCCCTTAAGTGCTTTTATGGTAGTTAGTACTCTGCATTTCTGCAGCACGCAGATCACATTGGATTTCCTTGTGTACTAATGCTTTCTTGTGGCATGTTCTTCGTGACTAGCAATTCCATTAATGTGTTATATGCCTTATCATCATTTGATAGATCATTACTGCTGCAGTTGGTAGATTTTGAAGGAAGAAAAAGGCGTTGAACCATGGGGAAGAGAAAGTCAGCTGCTAAGCCACCCCCTAAGAAGCGGATGGACAAGCTCGACACGGTCTTTTCCTGCCCGTTCTGCAATCATGGGAGCAGTGTTGAATGCCGAATGTTAGTACTGTCTTCACATGTTTTCCTGCTAATTGCTTGATACTGGATGGCTGTCCATTCAACATTGTGACTGGGGTTTCCCCCTTTTCCTTTCTTCAGTGATATGAAGAATCTGATTGGTGAGGCTAACTGTCGAATCTGCCAGGAAAGCTTCAGCACCACCGTAAATGGTATGTCCAAATTATACATAACTGCAAATTGTACTCCTAAAGTAGATGCCCATACTGATTGATTCTCAGCTAGGAAACCCCGCACCAGACATCTCATTGTTTTTGTTTCTTCTCAACCTAATGCTTGCAGCTCTAGAAACATGGTATAGCTTATATCTAAAACTTTCCTACAGCCATGCCTATCTCATATACTTTAGTCATTCTAATCAACTAGGTCATGATGGAGCAGAGCCGAAGTAGTAATGATGTACGGTTATATGCGTACTTGGTTGCCATTAAATCACACAACCATGCTTGTAAGATAGGCCATGTGGCTCCCTTTTTTTTCATGTTCCAAGTCTGAGTTAACTGAATTGCCTGAAACAAACCTGCATCATCATAAGTTTAGAACTGAACCTGCATACTAATATTGCTTAAATGAAAACAGTGTTGTAGAGGGTTAACCTTTGTTGTGCCACATGTTTTCAAGTTTGTGTATAACTATGTCATGTAAAGGAAACATGTTCAGTAGAGTTTTTGTACCCTTGCTGAGCTGCATGTTTTTGCTATTGTACTAATTCTCTGTTTTCTTTGGTGCAGCGCTGACTGAGCCTATTGATATGTAAGTCAAATCCAACAAATAACTCTTGACTAGTGAGTTGGTTCAAATACGTCAAGGAGACCAGGAACTGAAGATCGTATTATCTTTCCTGCAGATACAGCGAATGGATCGATGAGTGCGAGCGCGTCAACACTGTCGAAGATGATGATGGTGCATGAGCATGTCTGGTTGCAAAACGAAATGGTTACTACTATGACTGTAATGCGTTGGTGTTATTGGCTGCCATCTTCAGCCATGTCCGTAGTAGCGTTTTGAGGACGTGCTGGCTGATCGAACCGTTAGTAGGCAGTTCATCTCGTGTTTTAATAAACAAGCGATGATATTGTGTACTTGTGTTTGAACCCTAATAGTAGTGTTGCATGTCCGGTGTGTATGGATCCATCATATACGAGACTGTAAGGTTCTCTACCAGTATGTTATCATGGTTGAGATTAGGGCTAATTTCAGTACCAGAGTAGAAGTATAACTCATGCTATGTTGGTTGTTGTTGCGGTTGGTATGTTCATGTATCTGAGTCATGTTTGCCTTTCATCAGGCTGATCTTGCATGTTTTATGTTTGAAATGGAATGGAAATCAGGCTGATCTTGCATGTTTTATGTTTGAAATGGAATGGAAATCCGCAGTGGAGAATAAAAGGTTTGCAGTTCCTCATGGCACAAAAATGGCATTGGAAGTACTCCCTCCGTCCCAAATTACTTGTCCTACATTTGTCTAGATACAGATGTATCTAACACTAAAATGGAGGAGGTAATACATACTCCCTCTGTTCCTAAAGATATGATGTTTTGGTAGTTCAAAATTGAACTAGGAACGTCATATATAAGAAATGCAAATAGGAATGTAGACATGAACATGACCAAAAAACATTAGCCCTGCTTGTCCACTAGTCTTGACATTTCCTGCTTGCCCAGGGGCAGTATATTTCTGTTTATGTATCAGGGGGATTACCCCAAACTTGTATGAAGCATACATTTATTACAAACAGTGGAAACTAAACTAGCCCTACTTGTTAGTCTCTCCCATCAACTTCTCAAAGAAAACAAGACTACTCCAGGAGTACAACCTTTCTTCGCCGCTACTTGATTGTGATCCCTGCCAAGATCTTAAGTGGCATAAGTTTTATGTCCCAAAAATTGTTCCAGTGATTCACAACCGATCCATCCTCTCCAACCACGTCTAGCTAATCTTGCTACTGTGGCGTCGCTGAGGGTGCTTCGCTTTTCTTGATGCCGTAAGCAATGTAGTTTATACTGATATCATCAGACACGGACCACTCTCTAGTCAACGGATTGTAGAAGAATCCTGCCATTTCCTCCACCTGGAGATAAGATGTCGAGCTGTCAGTTATATAAAGTGGCAGCAAGATCATCGCGTGGGAGTGATTAGTAGCTTACGGAGATTGAGGCTCGTTGCAGTGCTAGGACTAGCTCCTCGGGGGTGACTAGTTTGGACCACTCATGTGTGCCTATAGGAAGCTGTAAAAGTACAAAGAAAACCATTAAGACTTAAGAGTACAGTGTCATTGGTTCAGATTCATCCGAGCATAAACCTTAGTAGGAATGAGCATATGTTGAAACAGCTTGTTGATTATTTTGCAAATGAACATGATAGCACTCTATTTCCTTGGGAGGATCTGAACCGTTAGTGAATTCTAGCCCAACAAACACAGCTATACAGATCAATATATCCATACACCTTTGTTTATCTGTCATCTGTGCGACCTTGCATAGTACTCCCTCCATCCGGAAATATTTGTTGGAGAAATGAATAAAAATGGATGTATCTAGAACTAAAATATGTCTAGATACATCTATTTCTCCGACAAGTATTTCCGGACGGAGGGAGTAGAAATCAAGATAACACAGCCCTTCCTACCATTGCATACGCAAAGCCATATGTTAGGTTGGTGAATTGAACGACATATTTCTTTTGGCTTGAGACTGCTCACGAGTCATGAGCATTAGCAATTAGGACATCTTATAATCTCAGGAGTCAACATTTTGCTAAGCCGGCAACCGTGAAATGGCATATTACTCCAACATAATAGACTGCCAACTACGTGAATCAATCTTCCATAGGAATTGAAACAAAAAAAAATGCAAGATGGACAATGAGACTAACCCATCTGAGAATATACTCAGCACCAACAATGGCAGCCGCATATGCTCTCATTGACCGGTTGATTGTAGAAATCACAGTGGCACCATTAGGAACTGTCAAAGCTGATAGAGATTGGCAGAACTCCAAAGGATTGGCAACATGCTCAATCACCTGCAAAGATATTAAGGTAATTCATATTTTTGATCCAGTACACTAGTTTCAGTTAAGAAAGCTGTACGTGCAAGGCACACAGTACTTAATCATCCTATTCACAAAGAGCTTATACAGTGTGTTATGTGTTATGATATTCACAAAGTTCTCCCAATATTTTGCACTGGTGTCTCCTTTTCATTGAACACATGACTTGACTCTAGGGGTTGAGAGACGACAAAAAAAGAGGGAGACTACACATGCAGGCAGAATAGATTCATGAACCTCTTGTAGCTTAATTGATTGGATGGCGCAAATGGCTCTTCTCTTTTTTTGTATTGATGCCCCCGACAAATAAAATATTAGTCAAACTGTCCTAACTAATGGGATTGTATCCTTTATTGGATTGTATCCATTCTTTGAGTGGCTAGAGCCAGCAGCCCCCCTAACACACGGTTCTAGCAGAAGCTATACCCTATATGCCTGTAATACATGATAAAAGCAGTCTTCAATATCAAACAAAGGTCTTAAAAGGGATCCCGCATCAATGAATTACCAAAACACCTCTCTGATAGTGTATGCTATGCTAAATGAGCTATGGAGGCGAGCAATTCTCGGTCAAACACCTTTGGAAGACAGCAGGGGTGTAAGACAGGATGAAAAATGTTCATACCTCAAGAGAAATTACAGCATCAAATTGCTTGTTCTCTTTTACCAAATCCTCTGCATATGAACAATAATACATGTAAGTTTTGCTATTTTCAGCCATAAGAAACAGCAGATATAGATTACTTATATATCTCAATTTAATCTATCTTGTCTAAATTTGGAAGCTGCCGGTCTTCCTTTACAATCTGGTTAATTACTGAGAAAATATATGTTCAACCAAGACAGCAAATGTTTGAACTACATATCTAACTGTCACTGGAATATGCCTTGAAAGTCATTACCAGCGGTTGTGCAGCAATACTCAATGGAAGCAGTTGTTGGATCAGATGCCTGCAAAGGTATGAAGCAAAAATCGTTGGCTAAAAATATAATAAATCCATCATGGTTCTGGCAATTCTGGCAGTGTAAAATCGCAGTTTTAGGGGCATTTGATGTTTACATGAGTAAAGGACTAAAGGGCAAAGGCAAGGAAAAAAACATGGAAGTCATCAGTTCTAAAAGGCTTAATACTGCATGCATAGTGATCATGTGTTATATCATCAGGCAAAGTATGAATAAGACTGTACTTATTAGCATTATATGTTTCACTGTTATCAGCAGGAAGCCAATAAATAAAACTTAGCAGTATACATTTCTCGTATAAATTATACATAAAATAAGTGACAAGAAAATAAGCACAGCTATTTCTACTAAACAATTGACAGGAAGATGAGTAATACATACGGCATGAATGTGCGCAATCTTTATATTCTTGTCAACAGCATCAATACCAGTAACTGTAGCTCCCATCCGAGCAAGAGGCTGTCATCCAACAAAGATGATCCAAAAGGTCAACAAATATTTTATCTGACAGTTCAATCACAGAAGAAAACACATGTTAAAGTCCAAATTGCATTGTAGCACTACAAAGATATTGATCTGAGACAAAGACTTACGATTTCAAACCAACTAGTTAGTACTCCCTCCGTTCAAAAATACTTGAAGTTCTGGGGTTTGTCCTAAGTCAACTTCTTTAAGTTCGACCAAGTTTGTAGAAAAATATGCCAATATCTGATGTAGTAGGTATTAGCAAAAATTTCTATGAAGTTAGGACAAACCTAGAACTTAGTATTTTGGAAAGGGGGGAGTAAATATCAAGATTAGAAATGCAATAAGTACACATCAATTTTTTCTATGCTTAACTCAGGCTGTAGGCAAGGGGAACACATCATGGATAGTATAAGACATTCATTATAGGCCATAGAGACTAGTACGTCAAAATGCTGAAGATAGCTATAGTTATGAATGTGAATTTAAATCTAAAATTTCAATGTGAGTAAGTTGTATAATGTGATACCTGCATAAAAAGAATATGACAAGTAAGAAGGAAAATATTGCATATCCATTATTCATTTTTATATCAGTGAACTAGATGAATTAATTCTCCCTTTCACACAGATGAAAAACCCTCGAAAAGTATTTACCATCAAGTATGTTAACCACCAGAAGGTTTTAATTATTAAAAAAATTGGCTGCCAAAGCCTTTATACCTCTGAGAGAATGCCACCTCCACATCCAACATCAATAACTTTAAGACCTTCGAGTGGCTTAGCGGAATATGGATCCCTCCTGGAAGAATTAACTTTAGACAAAGCAGAACAAATGTGGATCCCTTAGGATGAACTTAGGCAAAATACAGCAAAAGGCAACAATATTGATGATGAGAACTGAGGAACCGGAAAATAATCACGCTATGGAATAAGGAAAGGTACAATAAGCAGTCCAGTATTTGTCTTCTCCTCGGGGAAAAAGCAAAACTAAAAGCCAAAACAGAAATTCTCTATAGAAAACAAAATGCAGGACATGTTAAATGTACCTGAAATGTCTACAGAGTGTGGAGCGAATAAAAGATAGTCTTGTCGGATTCATCAAATGCAATGGTTTGAATGGACCTTGAGCATCCCACCTGTTTATTTCAGAAGCAGTATCATCATCAGTAACCAATCATTTGCAAAGGAAAAACTTGCCACGCCCTTCGCTTTGAGCATCTTAACATACAGACTACACCAAGTGCCGCACTGGCAGAGTGGTAGACAAATGCTTCTTCATAGAACAGAGATGATATAATAGAAAGACCCCAAACACCAGATTTGATTAAAATTTTAATAACCATTGTTAAACATGGCAAAACTATGTAGGCATTCTCAACGCACAGTAGCTCATACACCGTAGTACTTTTCGTGCAATTCCCTGAACATGTTGAGGCACGTTGATATATATAAAACATATCTAGATGCATGTTGCTGATACCTACAGAACAAAAATGTATACCAATTCACTGGAAGGCGTCAACAAGCTACACCAGCTGTTGCAGCTTATTCTAACTTCTAAGCAACTCATGGCTGCACCAGAACTGGCACCTAATTCTGGTGTTCGCAATGCCAACAGTGACTGGTTCCCTGTGCACAATGTTCATCATTGTGACCTGTGGTAGACCTATATCGCTATTCGGAACCAACAAACAGGCCCAGCAATTTCTGCAGCTCCAAAATTGCTCCAAAATTTTAACCGAACATTCAGAGCATAAGCACGGGGGTTCACCATCTCAGAGGGCCAGGGAGGGATCTCACCAGGTCTCGGCGATGGCGGCGAACTTGGCCACCTCGGCGGGGTTCAGCGAGGACGCGGCGGATCCCCCGCCCGCGTGCCGCGGCGGGCCCCGGGGAGGAGACGGCGGAGGCGGCGGGAGCGAGGACGCGGCGGCGGCGGAAGCCCAGCGGCGCCATTGCGGGGGTAGGGCGTGGGGAGACGAGAGGCCCGGGTCGGGAAGGCGCGCGCCTCCGCGGTGCTGGACGGCGGAGGAGGCGAGGGCCCGGCGGAGCGGCGGCGCGACGCGGCGCAGCATCGCGTGCTGTTGCGCGAGCGGAGCCGGCGGCGACCACGGTGGCGGTGCTCTGGAATCTGTCGCGTCGCTTCGAAGGGGTCGTCTGGTTTGACGTGGCGAGATCGCGGCCGTAGGATTCCGATCCACGGTTCGGGTTGGAAACTTCCGTGGAAAAATGCGTGTCTGCACACGGAGGCAGCCGGACCATGCCTATGTCAAGATTCAGGGCCTCGCCATTGGAATTTTGCTTTCTTTTCCTTCTCTTGAGGAAGAGAAGCAGATATGGTTTGATTACGTGGCGTGCTCGGTGACTCTTTATGTCATACACAGATACACCGAAGGCATGAACTATGGAAGCATCGTGTTGGCGATGCCTCATGCTTCACGTAGATGAAGCAACTAGGTCCCCTCTTCTCTCTTTGTAATTTCTTTTCATCAGTCATGCTCGTCCTGCACTCACGTTGATGCATTTTCATCATCTTCTACCGATTTACTCTCCCTTTTTTTTCTCTCTCCTCTCTTTCCCCCTTTTTTTTCATCTTTTGCCATGGAAGAGTCAGGTTCCTCTGCAGGAGGCGGGTTCCTTCTAAAGGACGAGACTTGCTTGAGCCCCACGCGTGTGCCCATCCGTACTCCCGCGTACGTAGCTTGATTTGATTGGAACAAAATAAGGCCCGGGCCCATCCCATTAAAATCAGGGGGGAGATGATTAGATTAGAAAGAAAAAGGAAAAAAGACAGCCGTAGGATGAAGTGGGAGCACGAATGGGAGCATGGGGAGGGAGCAGGCAAGCCGGATCCCCTTCTAAAAGCATCTGATTAAGCTCATATGGACCACTTTGGCTGATGCGGCGGGCTGGAGCAGTTGTGCAACATGGAGCATTGGCCATGCCTTGATAGTATGAAGGAAGTTAGGTCATGCTCAAACAACCCATCTCTCTTTGATGATGGGCCACATTGCAATATTGATGTCTCATACACGTACATTGGATAGCTAAAAATAAAATGTTACCAATTGTTGTGTTCTTGCTATTCCATGTTGTTTGTGTCATATGGAAGCAAGAAGAACACATTCTAGCTGATCAATATGTGTTGGCAATAATATCACCTTTGATTTGCAGAGGAAGAGAGGGGGAAGAGGGAGGAAGCAGAGATGAAACTCAAGCTTGACGCAATTGCAGCTAAGTAGCTGCAGAGGGAAATTGAGATTGAAGAGAATGATAGACAGAGAAGGATGTCTCTCCTAAAATTTTGAAGCATGGACTTCTTCTAGGCCTCCTTATATCCGACCCTTTTGTTAGGAAACTTTGTGTCGGTGTCAAAACCGGCGGATCTCGGGTAGGGGGTCCCGATCTGTGCGTCTTAGGTTGATGGTAACAGGAAGCAAGGGACACAATGTTTACCCAGGTTCGGGCCCTTTCGATGGAGGTAAAACCCTACTTCCTGCTTGATTAATATTGAAGATATGGGTAGTACAAGAGTAGATCTACCACAAGATCGTAAAGGCTAAACCCTAAGAGCTAGCCTATGATGGTATGATTGTAATTGTGATCGGTCTTCTAAGGACCATCCTCTCCGGTTTATATAGACACCGGAGAGCTAGGGTTTACATGGAGTCGGTTATAAGGAAGGAAACATAATATCTGGATCGCCAAGCTTCTCTTCCACGCAAAGAAGAATCCCATCCGGACACGAGCCGAAGTCTTGAGTCTTGTATCTTGACGCTTCTATAGTCCGGACGATGTATAGTCCGGCTGTCCGGATACCCCCTTATCCAGGACTCCCTCAGTAGCCCTTGAACCAGGCTTCAATGACGATGAGTCCGGCGCGCAGTCTTGTCTTCGGCATTGCAAGGCGGGTTCCTCCTCTGAATACTCCAAGATTGTTATCGAACACGTAGACCGTGTCCGGATCTGCAAGATGATCTTCACATACCCTAGCATAAATCCGTTCTGCTGGCAATTTTTGCACATCGTGCCCTTGCATCGTGGCCTGGTCCAATACGAATCAGCGTCTCCTGCTCCACCTCGACTCGCGTTGCGAGGCGGTTTTATTGGCACGTCATGCGAAAGCAGAGATCGTGTCCCCCTTAATACGAGCTCTTTTATCAATATGGTCATATGTGACCCCACGGCGACCGTTGGTATGATTCCGTGTATTTTAGATAAGTCTCAAGCGGTCACGCTGAGGACTCTTGGTATTCATCCCTTTTATAAAGGGGTCAAGGCCTACGCCTCTTCTCCACCTCTCCTGCCCCTTCTCGCACCTCGAGCTCCAGCACCCAAAACCTAAGCTCCAACGCCCCAGGTCCCCCAGTATGTCCGGATCCGACGCAACAGGCCGGTGGGCGGCCTCCTCGATTCAAGAGGAGGACATTGCAAAGCTTAGGGAGGTCGGATACCTGACCGCCGATATCCAGCACAGGCTTCCTACTCCGGGGCAAGTTATCCCCACGCCGGAGCCCAACGAGAGCGTCGTGTTTATCCCTCACTTCCTCCGAGCCCTGGGCCTCACCCTCGACCCCTTTGTGAGGGGGTTCATGTTCTACTATGGGTTGGATTTTCACGATCTGGCTCCAGACGCCATCCTCCACATCTCGTCTTTCATTATTGTGTGCGAGGCTTTTCTCCACGTCAACCCACACTTCGGCTTATGGCTGAAGACCTTCAATGTGAAGACGAATATGATCGAGGGCGACATGCGAAGTGCGGAGGCGCTATAATAAGCAGAAACGCTGATGCTCCATGGCCAGAGGGTTCTTTTCCGGAAGTATCCGACATATGGCAACGGAGATGGTTCTATGCCACTACTCCCAGAGGCACAAAGTGGGTAGCTACCCCCGAGTTCCGCTCAGGCCCTCCGTCATAGTTGGCGTCTTGGACCGATGTGGGACGGAATTATGGGCCTGCTGGCGATGTACCAGAACTGCAGAATCGCATCCGGGAGCTTATTGAAAGGGACATAAATCTTGTCAGCATAATTCAGGTAATGCTAGTCCGGCGGATGTTGCCGTGCAAACGCCGGCCTCTCCGGATGTGGGAGTTTATGTAACGCCCCGGATCCGATGCGCCAGTTGTCCGCCAGTTATTCGCCGCCGTTGCCATGTCATTTGCTTGCGTGTTGCATTTTATCATGTCATCATGTGCATTTCATTTTGCATACGTGTTCGTCTCATGCATCCGAGCTTTTTCCCCGTTGTCCGTTTTGCAATCCGGCGCTTCTACGTCATCCGGCGTCCCCTTCTAGCCTCTCTTCGTGTGCGGGTATTAAACTTTCTCGGAATGGCCCGAGGTTTGCCAAGCGGCCTTGGTATAGCACCGGTAGACCGCCTGTCAAGTTTCGTGCCATTTGGAGGTCGTTTGATACTCCAACGGTTAACCGGGTAACCGTAAAGCCCCTCTCTCCTTGCAGCCCAACAACCCCTCCAAACTGGCCCAAAACCCATCTAACTCCCCTCCATGCTCTCGATCGTTCGATCACGATCGCGTGGCCGAAAACCGCTCCTCATTTGGACTCTCCTAGCTCCCTCTACGTATAAAAACGTCCTCCCCATCCAAATTCGCGGATCAAATCGCCCGAAACCCTAGCCCTCTCCCTCCTCGCGCGCCGGACATGTCCGCCCGCCGCCCGGACATGTCCAGCCGCCGCCCCGACCAATCGCGCCGCGCCACCTGGCCTCCCGCGCCCTCCCCGCCGCCGCGGCCCGCGGAGC